ATTTCAGTATTTTTTAAGACTTACAGGAATATGTTGCATGCATCTGCAATATTCATACTAATTTGCTTTCTGTCTCTATCCCCTTCTGGATACTTCATATAGAGACTCATACAGCATGTGGCCTTTACTTCTGGCTTCTTTCACTTAACATAATGATTTTGAGGTTCATTCATGTTGTAGCATGTATTCATTTTTATTGCTGAATATCAATATACTTTTATAGTTATTTAACAAATTATTCTAATTGTTTGTCTTTCTTATTTTTAATACAAACTCTTTGAAGATAGAGATCATTGCTAAGTATTACTATAAATCCTTATACCTAGGAATACCATTTACTGTGGTTGCTCAGTACGTGGAGTAAAATGTAAAACTCCAGAATAACATTTATGAACTCAGAGAATATCAGCCTACATGCCTATCTATTCTGTGGGTTTTTTTTTTTTTTTTAAAGATCTATTTATTTATTTGAGAGAGAGAGAGAATGTGAGCGCAAGTGCGGGGAGGGGCAGAGGGAGAGATCTTTAAGCAGACTCCCCTCTGAGCGTGGAGCTGGATGTGGGGCTCGATCTCAGAACCCATGAGATCATGACCAGAGCCAAAATCACGAGTCAGACATTTAAGACTCAGCCATGCAGGCACCCCTCTATCTGTGCTTAATCTGTATGTGTATATGTATATATATATATGTATGTGTGTGTGTTAATATGTATATCTCTAGCATAATTATGCTTTCTTCTCTTTTCCTTCCTTTCATTACCTTTTTAAATATAATTAAAACATGAAGGGAAATCTATATAATTTCACACCAGCATAATAAAGCGAGTGCTACTATATGTAGCAAAGTTTCCTTGTAAAATTAGTAAGATTATAGTATATAATATTGCCTTGATTCAGTGATTTGCTTTCATAACTTTTACTTGGGTGTTTCAGTAATAAACTTTTATACAAATGGAAACTTACTGAAATACTGATTGGTTTATAAATAGTGCTATAGTAGATAACAAGGAGGTGAAACAACTTTCATGGAGGAATTTTTTTATGGATTGTATAATTTATACATGCATGCTTCTTTGATTAGATGAATTACCAGCTTTCCCTTATAAAACTCCAAGGCAATTTACACTTAATCATGCTGATGAAATTAGGTGAATTACTCAAGATTGCAGAATATAGGACTTAATTTATCATTTGTTATTTTTTCCAGATTTATATCAGGTTACATGAAGTTAAGAGTTAAAGTAAATACTATGTCAGCAGTTTACATATGAAGTCTTACTCTAAAGTATAAAGTCAAGACTTTACAAGCTTAAATATCTATTTTAATATCTTAAAATATATTTTAAGTAATTTGTATTTATTTTTATATTACATTAGCACCTAAATGTACTATTTTGGTAGATAAGGTGAGAATACTGATTTATGAAAGCTCTTTCTACTCTTCATGCCTTTCCTGCTGGTGTTAGCTATCAAGAAAATGGACTATTATCTTTTAGTTTTGTAACTTCATTATTAAAATATGAAGTTATAAGTTGTAATTTCACAAGTTGTTTTTCCTCCATTTGGGAATGAGTTAAAATGAGGCATTGGGAAAGAAAGTATCTTTATTATTTTATGTAGCCATTTTTGATGGATTATTTATTTGCTAAGACACTTCACTTCCTTGAAGCAGTAAAATAAAACATTTAGCAGTTTGCCTCGTTAGTACTTGTTAAAATAGGTAGCTTGGTTTCTGGTCATGAATCATGCTAATTGAAAGAACCTGAAAGCTATTTAATATTTCATTTAGATTGTTATTTGTTTTTGTTATTGAGAGCAAATTATTGGACAGATTTTTTTTTTTAATATTTTATTTATTTATTTGAGAGAGAGGGAGCCTGCATCTGTGAGCGGGAGGGGAGGCGGTGCAGAGGGAGAGTATCCCACGCATACTTCCTGCTGAGCACAGATCCTGACCTAGGGCTTAATCTCAAGACCCCAAGATCACGATCTGAGCCAAAATCAAGAGTTGGACGCAACCAGGTGCCCCTGGACAAGTTTTTTTTTTTTTTTTTCTCTTAAATGCCCTTGTTTTCTTGAATCTGAATTTTTGTTTTCTTCTTTCTTTGTTAATAAAATCTTATTATATTAAAGGATTTGAACTCATGGTGAGTCTCTTTGGCTTAAACTTGCTAAAAGTCGTGGATGATACTTTCAAAAGAGAAAATATAAGCCAAGAGAAAAAGAGTAAGGAACAGGGACTTAGCATATGATAGCTCAGATAAATGGTGTACAAATATGCTCCATGTAAGGAGATGGCATTTGCATCCACATAGAGTCACTTACATGAAAACATGCAAGTGTGGCGATTTCAGGCTTGTCAGTCAAGTCCTGATGCAGCTGGGGAATGCTCTCTTCTACACAAATCTGGACAGCACATGGAGCCGTCATATTTACCCACTCAGAATTCCAAGCAGGCACTTACTTGGCACACACATACCTCTTATGATGCTCTTTGGGCATCCCCTGAGGTTGCTTTTGTCTCTCGGCAGTCCATTCCCACTCCATCTCTGAACCTGACACAGACTTTAACCACCCTAACTCTGAATGTGACATAGATACTCCTGGAATGGGGAAGGGGAAGGGCCTGGAGAAGGGAAGGAATGTGTGCCTTGCAAGTGGCGTATGTGTCCCTCTTTCTGCTGGTTTTTAAGAAAAGGCCAGAACGAAGAAGATACATGTGTTTGTGCAGCCAAGACTGCTACTCTCTCGGGCTCAGTAAACTTCCCCTGGAAAGCTCTTCAGGTTGTGCAGTATTTCTTTTTGAAAAAGGAGAGGCTTTTTCTAATTTGCAGGAAAGCACGGCAAAAGCTAGCAGTGGCCCTATAAAGACCCTGTAGATAGTGAACCTATTCTCAGTGTCCCCTGGTGTCCTTTGCAGTCCACCAAGTCATTTTTTGGAAACAAAAACAAGATACAGGAATATAGATGATTAAGATCCCATAATGCATCGTAGACTTATATAGAACGGTACAATAGAGCCATATGATAATTGCAAAAAAAAAAAAATGTGTCATTCTGTTAAAAATAAGTAAAATTGATCTTTGATAGTTTGTAAGACTGCGAAGAGAAAAAAAAAAATGTCGTACTCCTCCCAAATAGAGTACTCCTCCCAAATAGAGCTACTGAAAAAGGAAACTCAAAATAAATTTGGTTCCAGTGGATCCTGCTGATGTATTAAGAAATGAGAATGTAATATTATTTACTCTTTGAAGATGCTTACCAAGGTTTTGATTTTAAGTTTTTTTAATGTTCTCTAAATTATTTCCCCTTCCTCACAGAATCAGATTTCTTTTCCTCCCTCCTTCCTTCACCCCCCCTTCCTCCCTTTCCCCTCCCATTCCTTTTTCCCTATCCTTCCACTCCTGCTCTCTTCTGCTCCACCTCTTTCTCTCCCATCCACTTTCCATTTTCCTCCTTCCTTCCTTCCAGTTTTGCTCTATATCTGGTGATTGTTTACTGTCTTTATATTTAAAAATGTAGGTGTGGTTTATTTTAGGTTATAGACTCTCATCTTGTTTGCTTGTATATAAGTACTTTGTTTTTCCATACTTTTCGGATTATTACAGCTTTGTAGTACATCTTGAAGTCTGAGATTGTGATACCTCCAGCTTTGTGCTTTTTCAAGATTGTTTTTCCTATTTGATCTCCTTGAATGGGAAATCTGAGAGACAAATAGAATTTTCATAGGGCACGTTGATTGACAGTGTCACTGTATGGTGGGTGAAAAGAGACCAGCCCATCTGGCTGTAGGCCCCCTATTGTGATAATGCAGAGGGATTTATTCTGGGTGGTAACCCCACACTGGAAGCCTTAGCACTTCCTGGTTAATCAGTGAAATGTCCTTGGAAATAGCATGTGGTCCTGGAAGTGGTTGGTTTAAATACTCTCCCTCCCAACCTGAAATCATTTTCCTGGGCAGTAGAGGTCAGGATGGATGGTTATTGAAACAGTTGTTTTATGTGTAAACTTTTAATTAAGCTTGATTTTGACTCTACTTTTCACTGCCACCCTTAATCCCAGTGACTCCCATCTTCATTGTAGCTACTTTATACTACCTTCTGGATTGTCTCCCCTGTTCATTTTATCCCTAACCCTTTGTTTTCCCATCTTTCCGAAACATATTGCTGTCTTCTCCCCTGCTCCTTCACTCCCCTCTCCTCTCTTCCTTCACTGTTCGGGTTTATGCTTTTCTATCTTGATGTTGTAATTACTAGGGTACTGGGTAGGACTGGAAGTCAACACATTTTCTCAGTGTGCAACTTTCTGAAACATGCATATCAAAAGGCAGTATCTGTTACAGTTTTTACTACCACCAGTATTTGAAATTTTCATTTTTATAGCATCCCAACTATTACATTTTTTTTGCCAGCTAAAGTGTATATGTTTCTGGTTCTAATGTGTAATCGTCTGTAAGAAACTAGCAAATCCTCATTTTTTCTTTTGAGTTTGTTGTTAATATAATTTTCTAGGAATTGTTTGTTCCTTTGAATTTCATTGGCACTGTGAAGTCCTGGGTTTTATAAGCAGTTTTCATAGAATCTTTATGTGGTATATTGACTCTTCATCACATTTGCTTCAACCATCTTCTAGTCTTTTTCACCCTAATTTTAATTATGTTCATTTTATAAATTATATTTTATTTGAATATGTTTATCTGTTTTGTGATTTCTAAACTTTGAAGTAATAAAAAAGTTACCACCCCTCCAGACAATTTATATTAATTAGGAATTTTATTTTTGTTTTACTAAACTTTATAAAATTAATTTTTGTGGAACACTCTTGCAGAATAATTTGACAGTGCATTTTGAGAGCCAAGAAACTGTCTCTGTGTTTTGATCCTGTTCTCAGAAGGCTTAATTAAAAGAAGGATAAGAGTTTGGTGTTTTGAATTCAACCATATTCTTATTTTGTCAAATGCTTTGAAACACTAAAAGGTAAAATATGTTTGTGTTTTCCAGATTATTGCTCAGTTGTAACAATTGTGGACCAGACAAATGTAAAGTTAACCTGCCTGCTCTTCAGTGGAAATTATGAAGCCCTTCCAATAATTTATAAAAATGGAGATATTGTTCGCTTTCATAGGCTGAAGGTATAATTCCGATTGTCCAGAACTCATATTTGTTCGAAGAGAACTCTGTATTTTCACTAATACTCATTAGCCCTAATTATGTGGTTGCTGTGGCAGAACATGGCATCGAGCATTTCAAGAAACAAGAAGAAATGTAAACAATACCAGACTTCAAATAATTAATATTAGGAAACCTCTTTATTTGGACAAACTGCCTGTGCTCCTTCCACAAGAAGTGTATTAGATACCATGATTAAGACGAGTTGCTGGTTGCATTCTGTCTTCTCATTTCTGAATGTAGATTGATGCTTTAAAGGTTTCCATGTAGAGCTGGGTTTAAAAAAAAAAAAAAGCCCTAGGCCAACAGGGCTTTTTCTTTTTTTTTTTTTTTTTACTTTTTGATAAAGTAATTCTATAATGATTGGGAGGTTATATTATTTTCCCCTGTTTGTTGTGTTAATTCAAGTACAGTGAAAGCATTGAGATATTAAATATAAAATCAAAGTAAGTTAATTTCATTTATGAAAAATGTATTAAAACATGAACAGATATTTTGGTACTTTTCAAATTATGCTATCAAACAGTTAAATGTTAGGAAACCTTTAATATGAAGGTAAAGCTATTAAATAGTATGTAATTTAAAAAAATAAGTACTCTAATATTTTCAATCCCTTAGGTTTTAAGCATTTCAATTGACCCTTCATCTTTTCCTCTTGTTAGATGGGTTTCCATGAAGCTCTTTCATTATCTTCTTCTTCTAATGCTTCAGTTTATCTGTGTCCCTCATGGTCAGTGCGATGCTCATAAGTGAGCACAATATTCTGGGTATGTTCTGTTCTTAGTTTTGGTGGAAATTACCTTTCTTGATCTCTAATGCCTTTCCCTGAGAATAGAAGAGTAGTAGAGAATATTTGTGTGAAGTTAAAAAGGAAATAGAAATATTATCATCGTAGCAAGTTTATCCCAACTTCAAAAAATAACTTATTTCTCACACACTATTGTTTCAGACAGTGCACTCTTCCCTCCTAATGTTTTTAGTTGTTATTCTTGCTGTTTAACTGAAGTAGGATATATATCTCTCAGTTCTATTTGTTTTAAAGAGAATAGACTGTAGGTTTTGTTTTTTAATGTATGGCTTATGCTTGTGTGATTCAACCATATTACTGTGTATAGTTTCACTTTGTTCATTTTCATTGGTAAGTGTGTGAATGCATCAGAATTTATATATTCTGTGGGACATCCTGTTTGAGAATATTATTCTGCTATAAACAGTCTAATACATATCTTTTAGTGAATATATATATTAATATTTTTATTATTAATGAAAAATTTACTGGATAGGCTAAATAGATTAGCTATATCATTTTTACTTGAACGTAGATCAATAGAAATTATCTAATGTGAAGAACAAGGATAAGCAAAAGATTGACAGAGCCTTGGGGACCTGTGAAATAATAGCAAATTGTGAAACGTGTCATTTGAAATGCACAAGAAAACTGTGTGAATGGGAAACAAAAATACTTATAGAAATACATAGAAATGACCAGAATTTTTCCAAATTTGATGGAAAACATTGACTTACAGATTTTAGAAACTCAGTGCACTCCATTCATGGCACCACAAAGAATAGCATGCCTAAACAAATCACTGTGAAACCATTGAAAAAGATTTGAAAAAAGAACTTGAAATGAGCTGGCAGAGAAATAACACATTCCATATAGGAAACGTAATACCAGCCATCTTTGATTTCTTATCAGAAATAATGGCATTTGAGGAACAAAGCAATGATAAATTTAAAGTGGTGATAGAAAATGGATTCACCTGGAATTTTGTATCCAGAGAAAATACTTTTCAAAAATGAGAGAATCCACAGCCAGCATATCTTTGCTATAAGTAAATGCTAAAGGATGGTGTTAAGGACAAAAAAGAATGCTACCAACCAGAAACTTGATGGTTAGGAAATGACCAAAAACAACAACAAAAAAGGAAATGGTGATAAATGGTGAAAGATACTGTTTTGTATTTCTTCTCATAATTTCACTAAAAGATAAATGGCTCTTTAAAAGAAAAACAGTAACATTTAGGAAGGTGGAGTTTATAAAATATGTAGAAAAATATGAACGATAGCACAGGGATGGTTAGGATGGTTAAGTGGAATTAACCACCAAAAGGTTAGTACGTACCTTCAGAGGTTATTACACTTTCAGTAGAAAGTGTAAAATGGGATATGGGCAAGTGGGGAATATGATATAGAAAGTAGGGATTATGTAGTAGAACTATATTGATTCCTAATAGACTTTGAGATAAGGATTCTTTCATAGCTCAGAGGAGGTAAACAGAATACTAATAAGTTCAAAATATGAGAGGAAAGGAATGGTAGAAAAACAATTTTTAAAAAACAAAAAAGGGGGGATACAGAAGGAAAACAAATAAGATAGTAGACTTAAATATAACCATATCAATAATTTTACGTAAATGTACTAAACACTCCTTTTGTAAGGAAAAATAGACTGAATAAAAAAGCAAGAACAAATATCACTCCCTACAAGAAATGAAGACACAAATAAGTTGTAAGTAAAACTGTAGAAAAGATATACCAAGCAAACAAGAAGCATAAGGAAAATGAAAACACTATATTAATATCAGATGGTGTATTACAAGGGATTGAAAGGGGGGCATTTCATAAGTACAAAAAGATTGCTTAATGAAGAAGATGTAACCATGGTAATGCACATGCATATACTAGCCGAACCTCAGGAATTTGAAAGCCAGAGTCTTTGTGGCTTATCTTTCAGACTGATGAAATCTTAGCCAGCCTCACTGCATTTTATTCACTTTGAAGTCTTGTACTTTAAGTGTTCTAGTTTTCCTTGTAATGGTCATAAGTAATTGTCACTATGTTTTTCCTTTTGTAAATTATACATAGTAAGAAAAGTAATAAATGTAAAAGTGCAAGCCTTATAGGATCAGGGAGTCGACCACCTAGACCTTTAAAAAATAGAAATAAATACTACATAGTGTTTTACAGTTTACATGGTGCTTGTGGATCTTGGTACAGCCCAGTTGATTTTATAATTTTGTATGCTAATTAAGTAAAATATATTAAATAATTATATCCTCTGAACTATGCTGGTAAGACTTTCTTATCTTTCAAGTTTCTTGAGTTTTGGGGTTCTGTGTCAGCTGTTTTGTTTTCTGCTTTGCCCAACTTTCTTAGATCCAAGTATATAAAAAGGAGACTCAGGGTATCACCAGCTCTGGCTTTTCATCTTTGACATTTGAGGGAACTTTGGGAGCTCCTATCATACCTCGTACCTCAAGCAAGTATTTTAACTTCACTGCCGAGGACCACAAAATGGTAGAAGCTCTTCGTGTTTGGGCATCTACTCATATTTCACCTTCTTCGACATTAGTAAAATTGTGTGATGTTCAACCACTGCAGTATTTTGACCTGACTTGTCAGCTCTTGGGCAAAGCAGAAGTGGATGGAGCATCATTTCTTCTAAAGGTAGGTATTTTAAATACTTGAAATTGTAAATTAGCACCACCTACGTATCTAAAAAGAACTTATATTTCATTCTGGTGGAATAAATATACATACTGTGTATTATAATAAGAACTTTAAATCTAACTTACCATGTTTGATAAACTTAGATATTCATGCAACTCTACTCTTGAACTTCTTTATACTTCCAGAGAAAAATAGTATTATCAATAGTTTAGATATAGTTTATGCTTTATTTCTTATTTTAGTATTAATAAAATAAAAAGTTGTTTTCTATGTTATATTTTAGTTACATTTCTACATATGCATATTTCTGCTTCCTTGTCAGGGTAGCCTTCCTTCTCATTTACTTTCTTGGCTCATTCATGTTGGGTTTTCTTCCCATGTCATTTCACTGCCTGTTTCATTGGGTAGATCACAGATGGTTTTGAAATGTTCATTTTTGTTCTGTTTTCTTTCTAAATCAGCATGATTTTTTAAAAGTAAGACCCATCTAATCTTTGTTTATACTTACCCCAATTTACTCATGAATAGCTAGAGAAAAAGACAGTTGTCTGATACTAATCCTCATCTGCCCATCCTACGCACAATACATTTAAACAAACACTGCTTCAGCTCTGCTCCTATGGTTATTTCTTTATCTTCTGACTCTTTGAAACAATAGGATAAGAAACAGAGTACGAGGCACAAGTATTGGGTGTAGCTTTATTATCATTTATACCTTGCCCTTATTAAGGAATGAGGAAGATAGAAATCCCTGAATAAAAGATGAAGTGTTTAAAGTTGAAAGTAGCACATTTACATACACATGACATACTCCAAAAAAGTAATTGCATGCTGTAAAAAAATTTAAATCAAGTATGACAGCTAAAGTTAAAGCAAAGTAAAATCATCCAAAATTAGAAGGAATCCTAGGTCAACTGGTCATACTTTTTGCCCAAAGTGACATCCTTAACAGATGAGCATTTGTTAATCACCAAATACTTCCAATGACAAGTAATCGTTGCAGAGTATGAGTGTAGATCTTTTGACTGCTGTGTTAGAAAATTCTTAAATTCTGAGATAAAATCTGCCACCTTTTAGCTGACGTGGCTGAATCTACATTCACTCTAAAGCAACAAAACATACGCATGCATTCCATTTTTACAGATAGCTTTTTCAGATAAGTGAAAGCTTTGATTCAGATGTTATTTTAAAATACAGCATTCAGAAGTGAATTTATTTTTGTAAATTTCCTAAATTTATTTTATAAATGCGGAAAAATGCATTTAAAAGAATATTTTATTTCTTACAGTAACAAAAATTGGAAGCACTCATTACTAACAGAATTGTGTGAAGTATTGATATATTATAGAATACTCTGTTACAATAAAATGACATTGTAGACATGGTTACTAAGATAGATATTCATAATCTATTTGGCAATTAATGCAGTTTTATTTATATACTAAAATATATGCATAGTAAAAGTACATTAAAAAGAATATATAGCAATATTTTACTTACTCTGGGAAGTCAAATTTTGAGTGATTTTTTTTTTAAAGGATGTTCATTTTTTATTTTTTTTTAAGATTTTATTTATTTTTATTTGAGAGAGAGAGAGAATGAGAGACAGAGAGCACGAGAGGGAAGAGGGCAGAGGGAGAAGCAGACCCCTTGCTGAGCAGGGAGCCCAATGTGGGACTTTGAGTGATTTTTTTTCTGAAATTGATTTTCCTATCACATACCAGAAATAACTTTTTAAATTATGTTTTAAACACAAAAGGAGCCAGACATTACTCCAAGTGAGGTCTGAAAAGCATGAATGTAGCATAATTATTTTCTTTCTCAGCTTGGATTTGATACTAGTGTTGTTCCCTATATTAGTAACTATGATACTAATTTATTTTAATTATTCTTGTAGACATGCTACACCAAAAACATATTAAAACAATAATATACTGTAATCCACAGTTTATTTTTAGAAATCAGAAATGGTTTAATTTTAAGGAAAATTATAATCCTCTTTGTGAATGTTAAATATATCTGTGAAAATGTTTAGCAAAATAGAATTAGAAGTATGTCTCCTTAACTTGATAAACAATTTCTCCTATAAATTAATCAAAATAATTAGTGGTAAAATTCTGAAGTCAATAATGCCAGGAACAAGACAAAAATACCCACTATTTTCTCTGTTACATTGTTCAGGAAATCTCAAGAATTCACTAAGATAAGAAAGAAAGTGAGAGATATAACTCTTTTAAAAGAAAGAGAAAAGGAAGGTCAGTACTCAAGTTATAAAAACCCAAACAATGGACTGAAAAGCTACTTGGATTAATAAAATTATTTAGTGAGATAGCTGGTTTAAACATTAGTGAAATATAGCTTTGCTACATATTAGTAATAAATAGAACACATAATTGAACAAAAGTTCTTCCAACGTCACAAAGACTGTAAAACCAGACAGTTCGGGCAAGAAATCCCTGACCTTCTGTGAGGAAACCTAGAAAGCGGGAGCATAAAAGAAAAGTAGGACTATTAAAAGGTTTTTGATTCTTTTTTTTAAAGTGTTTTAAAATAAAATGCCATTTTAATTAAAACCATATTTTCTAAATTGACTATGATTCTGAAATTTATAAGAAACAGTAAATGATCAAGAATAAGACAAGAAGAACTTGACAAGAAAACTCAGACCTCCGTATCAGATATCAAAGCATATTATGAAATTATAGTAATTAAGATTATAGTAAGACTGATCAATGGAAAAGATTAGGAACCTCAGAATCAGTCTTACACTGTACATATAATATATTCATGATAAAAATAACATTGTCATTTCAAATTGATGAAGACGGATTGTTAAATGGTGATTGTTATCTATTTGGAAAAAGGAATCAGATCTATATATAATATACAAATTCCTAGCAGATTAAGTATTGATACAAAATTATAAAAGTTCCAGAATTTATTAAAAAAAAAACAAACCTGAGTTGTAAGTGATTAAAACTGAAGCATAAAAATAATGTAGCAACACTCTACTCTCTCAGCTCCTCCCCCAAAAGACTGGTAGATTCGTGTATAAAGCTATTTTAAAGTCAAAAAACAGTATACATGAAATGAAGGAACAAATTCCAAGTGGAGAAAAACCTTTGGGACATATAACTATTCCCAAAGTGTTTGTTCTGGTTCTTTGAATAATCTAGGCAACAGTGAGTGACCCAAACTCAGTGATTGGTGGCATGGTCACCAACATTATTAAATACTTCCTCTGTAAACTGACCCTGGCAGACAGCCTCTCTGTAGAAATGCAGTGTTTTCTGTTCATTGAGCCTGTTTCTCTTGTCCAGCCAAATTTCTCACATACAGAGGCATTCTTACCTCATGCCAGATGTCTTTTGTCATGCCATCTCTTAAAAGCCTAGCACAGCACAGGCTAGCTCACATGTTGAGGATGGTATGGTGCATACTTCCTCGTACTATGCCCGCTTATCTCAAGGTAGCTTACATAGCAATCCAGTATATCTTTTCCTTTTCCAGCACCCATGATTTTCATTCATTTGTATTCACAGCCTCTAACATAAACAGAATGTTCCTATCTGTACTTTTAAAGGCCTTTTCCAAATTAGAACAAAGTGAACAAATGAGCAAAGTTTAGAATAACATTCCTAAAAGTTAGGGATTTATACTTAAGAAAATTAGCAAATATAGTCATAAGGGTTTATATATAAGATGGTAAAAAAGATAAAGTAAATTCAACAATATGTTAGTACTTTCTTCTAGGTAGTGTGAATTTTTTTCTTCTTTACATTTTCTACATGTCCTATATCTATGTAGTCCTTTTATAATCAGAATATACGCCATGTTTAAAGCTTAGCAGATATTTGGGGGAATACGTTTAATTACTTTTAAGTTATATTACCAGCAGATAGAACTCTTTTAAAAGTCTCTACAGTTACACAGAAAGATCATTAAACTTCACTCTACCCTATTATGGCAGGTATGGGATGGCACCAGGACCCCATTCCCATCTTGGAGAGTATTAATACAAGACCTTGTACTTGAAGGAGATTTAAGTCATATCCATCGGATGCAGAATCTGACAGTAGACATTTTAGTCTATGATAATCATGTTCAAGTGGCAAAATCTCTGAAGGTGATGTTGAGTAGCAAATGTTGTTCTTTTTTTTGTTTTTATAAATGTGGGGTAAATCATATTTATAGATGATATTTGAGGTCGAGAAATTAACTCCAAATTTATTTTTTCTTTAATCTTTAATTTGTAAAATATATTGAAAATAAGTTATTAGAAAAAAACTCAATTATTAGAAGATGCGTTAAGTTATAGTGGTTTGAACAACTTTTTAAATAAAATTAAAGAACATTTCCTGAATATTTTAAAGCTGTACACAATTTTATTATAAAAACAATAAGGAAAAATTTTATTGTATGAAGTCGTATAAAATATCTGTAAGCTTAAATGTTAAGCTTTATTAATTAATTTTTCAAAATCTAGCCTACAACTTTGTACTCATTAATTTAAGAAATTGTTAATCCACTTCTTAATATATATCATAAATTGTGTGTGTTTGTACTATACAGTTTATCAGAATTTGCTCACTGCTTTTGAGTTTTTAGGTACAAGTCCAGATATGACACTTTTTGATTATTAATATTGGGAATATTTATTCTTTTAATTCTTTTATTTGCAGGTATCTTTTGTAGCAACAAGTGGCATCATTAATAATAGCAATAATAAGAGTAACATTTGTTAAGCACATCATATGTATTTAGTACTATCCTGTGCAGTTAGTATTGTTGCCATTCCTATTTTACAAATGAGAAAACTGAGCAGTCACAGGTTAAGCCCAAGATTTCATGGCTACTTGGGTGAAGCCAGTATTTGAATCTAGTGTTTGTTTCCACAACCAGTCCTTTTAAGCAGTATAAAGAAATGATTTTCTTTATTGCAAATAGCTTCCATCCTACCTTTAGGGAGTTATACAGCCTACTTACAGAAAGTTATATGGCCTACTTATAGGAAGAAAATAGTAAAAGTGAATTGCAGTTGTTTTAGATCTGAATTTTATGTCCAGTTTCCCTTTGTAAAATAAATGTTCTTGGAGAAGGGAATAGTTCCTCACACACACAAATAAGCCTACCCAACTCAAATTGATAAATTAGATTAAAGTCAGGGTCCAGGAAGGTGATAACTGAACTTTCTTGTCCTTTATGTGTGTGTGTACATGGTTTCATACCTAACATACCAAAAGAAAATTGACTGTTGAAAATACATTTTTGATGCTTTTCCCTGATTTTCTCTACATTGATTACTTTATTTCGAAAATAAATGTAATGATAAAGCCAATTCAGAGTCTTTTTTAAATACAGATAGATTTTTGGGGCACCTGGGTGGCTCAGTGGGTTAAGCATCTGCCTTCAGCTCAGGTCATGACCTCAGCGGGGTCCCTGCCTCTCCCTTTCCCTTTGCCTTCCCCCTTCTTGACTGCTTTCTTTCTCTCTCTGTCTCAAGTAAAATAAATAAAATCGTAAAAAAAATACAGATAGAGTTCTTATGAATGAAAAAGATTTATGTTTTATTTTAGATTCTACTTTAACAATTTAATTCCCTTCCCTTTATGCTGCTTTTATAGGTCTTTCTGTTCCCCCTTGCTTGTCCTGATTCCCTTGTCCAAGTCCTGAACAACACCTAGCACAGTACTTTCCTTTTACTAAGGATGAAGTAAATAATATCTACTAGTGAATGAGTGAATCGATGAGGGCTGTGAATTTGATTTTTTTCAGCTCCCTTTTTGTCTGCTTTATCTCACCCACTAGAGGGTGCTCTGAGCACACATGACTAAGAAAATATAGGGCACTTAATGTTTTTCTGAAGATATCATAACATTGTATTATTTATCTGCAATAGAAAATATTGCAGAAATGCAGAAAAAAATGCCGCAAATGCAGAAATGTCTATCTGCCCCAAATGCAGAAAAGATATTTCTCATAATAGAAAAATGAAAAGGATTTTCTCTGTATAAGTAATGTAACTGTAGGCTTTTATTTAATGTATATTGGCATCCCATTTTATTTGTTCTAAGACAACCTCTATACCATTTGATATTAAGAAATCCCCAGAGTCCAATGACATTAATACAAATGAATTCTTATCAGCACTTGAAGACAGCTGTTTGAAATTGCATTTTTATACTGAAATACATGGAACAGATTTTTATTGTATAGGAACAGGAAAAAATATTTTTTTAATAAAGAGAATAATTAAGGCAATCTTAAAGTATAATTGGCTTTTATATACATTTTACAATTGAAATCATTCTTAACATTTTTCCTCAATTTTGCTTTTTAAGTGTTACACAAGCACTCATGCATAAACCCACATATACATGGGTACACACAGACATTTCGAACTTTTTGTCTAGAAATTAAAGCAGTGTATTTCCAATCATCAGTCTTATCCTGACACAAGTTAAAAATAATTAAAAGTATATATAGTCATAATTATGTTTTGGCCTTCAGTGACCCAAGAGCTGTAGTTTGACTGGTTATTTTCAGACATACACAGGTAATTAAAAACATTAAAGGGAATTTCTTGATAGCTTGTAAGGAAGATTAAAATTATTTCTAAAGGGATAATAATTTCTTAATAGCCATATTTGCTTTGCTTTATTTTTGATGTTTACTGAAATGGGTTTTTATCACAGTTTTTGAAAGTATATTTTTTATAATTTTGGCTTTGACTCCCTCACTTGTATGTTTAGAATCTTATCCCATTACTGACAAGACTAAGCAATATGTGTCTATTATAGTAGAACATCTGGCACATTTCATAGTATATTTAGGAAGCTTAAAAAAAAAAACACAATGCTGCCTCCAGAAGGAATTTGTGGAAATAACATTTTGTCATCTTGATAAACTATATAAATAAATTCTTTCTTGGTCTTTATTGTTTTGTTATAAAAGACAGTAGTAGAAAAGTTAGTATAATAAATACCCATGTGCCTATCATCTAAATTTAACATTTTTAAATGTTTTACCACATTAATTTCAGGTACTTTTAATTTTTAGGACATAAATCTCTACATACTGAATCTTCTTTGTACCTCTGCTCATTCTTATTTTTTGCTCCCTAATATCTTCTTTCTATTTATCCTAGTATGTAGGTATGTACACCCATCTTTATTATGCTTTTATTTTATGTACTTATCTCTGAAAATTGTATGTGGTATATATATTATTCTGTAATTTGCTTTCTTTCTTTGAAATTATATTTTTAAGATATATCCATGTTCATATATGTATATGCATTAACATCACAGGGTCTTAATTATTATAGCTTTATTTTTATTTTTTATAGCTTTATTTTTAAATGATATTCTGTAGATCAAGCAAGTCCTCCCCCCCTCCCCTCCCAGTTTAGTCTTCAAACTTGACTTGCTATTCACGTTCATATACGTTTTCAGGTCAGCTTTTCAAATTCCATAAAAGACACTAGGGATTTTGTTTGAAATTACACTGAATTTAAAGATTAATTTGGGGGGATTACTATCTTTATAATGTTGAAGTTTTTCATTTATGAATATGATATCTTTCTCCATGTGTTTAGGCCTTTAAAAAATTTTTTTTGTATCTGTACAAGAGATACAGATCTCTTTATATCTAGAAGGAGGTGGTTTTTAAATTTTGTGTTTTTTTTAAGTAAACTCTTCCCTCAAAGTGGGGCTGGAACTCATGACCCAGAGATAAGAGTCAGATGCTGTACTGGCTAAGCCAGCCACGCACCCCCATGTGTTTAGGTCTTCTTTAAGGGCTTTGTATATACATGAACTGTGCTAGTGTATTCCCTATATTTAAAAAGAATCACAGAATGATGAACATTCAGAAGGAGTGAGATAACAGTGAATAGAAATAGAGTCGGTTTTTTCTTCCAATATCTTACTTTGGAGACCATGAGGAAAATCAGTTTTGTCTTCTTTTCTTTTTTAGAAATTTCTGTGTTTTCCTTCTCTGACTCTTTTTACCCTGCACCCCTGCCGTGTTATAGATGTCAGTGGAAGAAGTCAGAGGAAAAAATACCTAAATTCCTCCCTCCTCACAAAAACGTTATTGGGAGGAAAAAGGTTATATAGCTTCTTCTTTTGAGTAGGTGTCAATTTCTTTGATAAACATTCTACATCTATCATTTTAAGTCTTCTACGTTAAAAGGATATCAAATACTCTATAATTAAAGCCGTTTTTAAGATTAAACAAGACATCTAAATTATAGAACATTTAGTTCAGAATTATAATTGGTTTAATCTTGTATTTGAACTCATAAAATGTGTTTCACATTATAGTGTACAGGCACAGTGCTTATTACAAAAGTTTTCTTTCCATAAAACTTATGGAATAGGAGAATATTTTAATATTACACTAAAAAAATTTCTAGTATTCTCATAATGAGAGTATTTTAGCAATCATTTAATTAAATCTTTTTTTAAAAGATTTTATTTATTTATTTGAGAGAGAGAGAGACAAAGATAGCGACAGAGAGCATGAGTGAGACGAGTGAGCACGAGCGAGACGAGTAAGCATTAATGGGGAGGAGAGGGAGAAGCAGGCTCCCCACCAAGTAGGGAGCCCAATGAGGGCCTCGATCCCAGGACCCTGGGATCATGACCTGAGCCGAAGGCAGATGCTTAACCTACTGAACCACCCAGGCACCCCAAATCTTACCTTAAAGTACCTAAAACAAGTTATCTTCAGAAACCTCAGACAGTTTTCCAAATCAAATAGAGGGCTTAAGTTTGAGTTTGATTTAGGTAATGGGTTTCTTAACTACTTCCATTTTATCAATGCTAAGACTCAATCTTACTTTACGCTTTAATATCTGACATGGAAATATGTCTTCCATTTGAAAAAAAATATATAGATGGATACATATATATGTGCATATATACATGCACTTACATATTATATGTAGATGTATGTACATGGATATATGTAAACATACATGTATACATGCATACACACACATCCATGTACATTTATATGTATACACATGTGTGCACACACAAAAACACATGTTTTGGTTTTGATATAGTGTTCTTTGGGGCTGATGCCCAGTACACACCAGTTAAACATACCAGGATCCTTTCTGATTAGTCAGCACCCCTAATTGTTGGTCTTATGCCGTATATTGCCTAAGTATTTTATGTATCAGAAATTGTTTGATTTTTTTTCATTTTCTAAATAATAAATAATATATTTTTAGGTTGGAAGTTTTCTTAGAATTTATAGCCTCCATACCAAACTTCAGTCAGTGAATTCGGAGAACCAAGCAACATTGTTAGCTCTAGAGTTTCATCTCCATGGGGGTACCAGTTACGGCCGGGGAATCAGAGTCTTGCCAGAAAGTAACTCTGATGTGGACCAACTGAAAAAGTAAGCAAATTATATGCCTATTTAGAAATTGTAAATAAGGTATTAATTAAGCTGATTTCCAAGATACTATTGTTCTGGACTGGTGTGGATGGATCCGGTAAGCTCTTTGTAATTGATCCTCATAACCTGTGCCAACTATCCATTTGTTTAAATAGATGAAGCAAATGAAACAAATCAAGCGACTGTAGGTTCAAATAGCTAAATAGTAGCAGAGCTGGGGATGTGGTCTAAGGTTTCCAGTAGTTGTGCACTTATGTCTACTCTGTGCTTGTGCTCTCCTTCCACCATTTGGCACATTTCCCAAGTACACCAACAAACAGTTGAACCTGGAGTTTAGCTAGTTTGGAAAACTTGATACATATCTAGAATTCCAAACATACTTAATCCTGAAAAAATATCTCTTTAAAGTGCCTATGACTGATAAAATAGGTAACAGAAGTGTTTTGGAGTATCATATTTTAAAAACTTTTAGATGTGCCCAGAGAGTGAATAGTAAGTCCTGCTACATAGGCAGTTCTCTTTTTTGTGAAGTATCTCCAGGGCTCACTGTGTACAGAAACTTTCTCGCCAGTAATCTAAAGAAAAATAAATCTTCTGCGTGTCTTCAAAGAGCTCTAGAAAATAAACCCATTCAGTAAGTTGAAATGAAATAATATTTTTATGTTTTAATATATTGAAATCAGCATGACTTTTAAAACCAATTAAATAAGCTATTTTAATAATCTTGTATCAGTTTTCTTTATTCCTCATATTGCCTTATATAGAGCATAGTATTTCACTTTTGGACTGGAATGAGATTGTTCTGACAGAATGCCATCATTAAATTCCCAGTTTCTTTTTGTTTGCAGCATTTCACTGTCCTACTGTTTTACTCATATCTTTCTAGAATCTGTTTTTTTTTTAATTTGGGGTACCTTAGAACCCCCAGACCACCTGAGGAGAGCCATTACACACACACATAATTTTTACACAATTTCAGTGATTTCTTGGTTTCTAAGGATAGAACTAAACTGATCATACTGACTTTGTTTTGTGCAATTAGATTTGAAATTATATTCTTTCAATTATAGGGTTTTAGAATCTGCCGATTTGACAGCCAATCAGTGTTTTGATGGTATATGTCATTCAGAGCACGAGGACAGCTTTCGGACTCTTTCAAGTAAGGACAGTTTTTAATGTTAACAGTTTAGTCTTTGCTAACTGAAATGGCTTTATCAGTATTAGTTCTCTTTTTTAATATCTTCCCATCTCTGCCTCTCCTTTTTTATTAAATCCATATTCATTGTAAAGGAACAGGTTAAATCTATATCTGTGTCCTATGTAAAGGTAAACATTATTTCTCCCTGAATTGTATAATTGCATTTTCAAATTGGAATGGTAGGGATTACTTGATTTGTGATATATGTAGTATTTATGTATGTATGTTTACATTGTATGTATATATGTATATGTGTGTATGTGTGTATATTCATTAAAATTCTGTATTTCCTAGGCAACCACTTTGCTTGTCAGTTTCTAAAATGAACAATGGTTGTTTTTGTTGCTTTATTTCAAAGAGCTAGATTATTTTTTGATCATACATATTTTAGAAATACACCTGGTTCCCAGTCTTTATCAAGTTCATCAAGTTCCTAGTTACAAGATCTTAAACACTTAGTTCTGTATTTATATTATTGCCTGCCTGAATAGGTGACTATTCAAATCTAAATTTAAATCTTACAGATTTTCTCCTTTACCATTTTGCTTTAATATCTAATGGTACTTTCTGGGGCCTAGAATCTATGTTATGTTTTTATCCCATATTTATTTTTTCAGTGTAACTCCTTCCCTTATGATATAAGCTATTTTAAGAGTATTTTCTCTTTCTATACCAGTAATGATAAGCATTAAAATTAACATGTATTGCTTGGTTTAGGTACTAAGTGCCTAATCCTAACAGCACTCCTTTGAGGTTGAAATTATTTTGTCCCTTTTACAGAAAGGAAACTGAGGCTTTGAGTGATAGGGGTCATGTAATTCGCCCAGGGTTACTTAGCTATTAACTAATAGCAAAGTCAGTCAGATTCAAGTACAGCTTATTTGATTTTTTTTTTTTTTTTTTTTTTTTACATATTTTAAGTTTATTTCTTTATTCTCTCTGCCTTAAAACTCTCCACATTTCCTAGCACCTTGGTGATGGCATTTTAGCCTGATCTGTGATTACTTAAACTACCATTAGCAGGTCAATTTACTTCAATTTTTGACAGCATAATTTGTAATTATACTTTTTGAAATCTCTTTTCTCCTTTTACAAAGATTTTTAAATTGTTTTTAAATTATAAAGTTAATACATGTCATAATATCAAGTTACACAGCTTCCCTATGCCCTTGTGCCCACTCCTGAGGTAATGTTAAGTTTAGTGTGGTTTCTTCAACACTTTCATGTTTATACAAATATATATACCTGTACATAGACAGACCTGACTTTCCCCTCTGTTTAAAATATTTATCAAAATGGAGCACTTGTGTGCCTCAGTTGGTTGAGTGTCCAACTCTTGATTTCAGCTCAGGCCTTGATCTCAGGGTTGTGAGTTCAAGCCCTGCGTTGGGCTCCATGCTGGGCATGGAGCCTACTTAAATTTAAAAAATGGGACCATACTATACGGTTGCTTTCTTTATCAGTGGATCATAGACCTTTTAATGGGCTAATCCATGTTACTCAAACTCATTCTTCTAATAGTGCACAGTATTTTATAATGTGACTCTAACATTATAAATCCAGCTATTTTCCATTTGATAGACATTCAGGTTGTTTCCAGTTGTTTGCTCTTAACAGATAATGCTTTAAAAACCATCCTTGAACAATTGTACATTCCTGCTTTTCTTTCTGTAAAATAAACTCCTAAAAGAGGGGTTGATAAATCAAAGCGTAAGCAGATCTTTTATTTTAATAGATGCTATCAGATTATATGACAGAATGTCATAGGATTCATATGTAAATAGCAGTGTAGGAAAATGTCCTTTCCTCACACTCTCAGTGGTATTGGAGGTTACCACTATATGTAAATTTTGACAGTTTGGCAGATATAAGGTGGTATCTTATTTAGTTTCCTTGAGTACTTGGAAACCTGAAAATACTATATATTTATCAACCCTTTTTACTTCCTCTTTTTTGAATTGTCTGTTCTTACCCTTTACCTGATTTTCTGCTGGATTTTTTAACCTTTCTTTTTTTTTTTATCAGTTTGTGGGAGACCATGTATATATTTTACACTGATTTTCTTTTTATTTGACTGCTTTTATTGCCATTGTTTTCATTTAATGCAGAATGGCTGATATTAAGTAATCGGATTCATTGAAATTATACTTTGCCAGCTTAAGTTGTCCATTCAGGTTCTCTTGTCATGGATTCTTATGCCATTTATTAGTGATGTTGAGGAAGAAGGACAGTTTCATATGTTTGTATATGATGCCACATAAAATAAATTATAAAAACATACTGTACTACTATATGTAATAGAATGTAAGCTAAAGTAATTGCAAAATATGGATACTTTTTTAATCTCAAATTCTTCATTTTAGAAAGCACCATTAAAACTTATTACTATATTCACTACTTCTGCTTTCTTGTTAAAGTAAAATCCTATGTTAAGTGTTCATCAAGTCATCCTATTCAGTTTAGTAAGTTTATTATCTTATCTACTTCTCCCTTTGTTTCTTTCACAATGTGTTTTTTCCAAAATAATAAAAATTTTCAAACATACAGAAAAATTGAAACAGTTGTATAGTGAACACTCATATACCTACTACCTGGATTCTCTTTGCTCTGTCATATACTCTCTCTGCCTTTTACTCCATCAGTCCATCTTATATTTTGATATATTTCAAAGTAAGTTGCAGACGTAAATACACCTCCTAAACACTTCAAAATGAATATCATTAACTAGAATTCAATATTTGTTGAGGATTTTTAAAATTTTTAGTGTAAAGTTATATGCAGTGAAATGGACAAGTTAAGTGTACCATTCCATGTGCTTTGGCTACTATATAAACCCGTGTAACTTAGATACCTTTAAAAACCTAAAACATCATGCTTGTTGAAGGAGGTTCCCTCATGCGCCTTCCCAGCCAGTCCTGACCTCCACTCCAGCCCCATAAATTCTGATTTTTTTTGCACCATAGATAATTGTGCCTCTTCCAGAACTTCAAATAAATGGAATAATATATTATGTACTCTTTTACGTACTATATGTTTGTGAAATTCATCCATATTGCATGTATTAGTAGTTCCTTTTCAATTCCTAGTAGTATGGTATGAGCTAGACATTTTTTTCAATATGAATTTCTAGTCATTGAAGCACCATTAGTTTCCTTTCTGTAAGATGACTTGGGTGTCTGTCAAAAACCAAGTGGGTATAAATGTGGATTTATTTCTGGGCTTTCCGGCCAGAAATACTTAGTAGTATGGTGTGAAGTAAGCATTTTGTTTCCTCATACTAATTTCCAGTTGTTGCAGTACCAGAGTTTTGCTCTCCCTTTGGATTGCTTTGCCGCCTTTATCAAAAATGAAATGCAGGTTTATTTCTAGGCTTTTTTTGTAATTCTGTTGATAGGTTTGTCAGTCTTTATGCCAGTATCATATTGCCTTGATTATTATAGCTTTATAGTAAGTCTTGAAGTCAGGTAGTATAAATCCTCCAGTTTTGTTCCTTTTTCAGGATCATATTTTATATTCTAGGTTCTTCACGTATTCACTTAAGTGATAGAATCTCTTGTCTTTTTCTGCAATAAAGCCTCCTCAATTTTGATTAGGATTGTATTGAATTTACAGATCAATTTGGGGAGAATTGATGTCTTAACAGTTTTGAGCCTTCCAGTCCGTGAGCATAGTAAATTTTACTCTTATTTGGATTTTCTTCAGTTCCAGTCAGCAATGTTTTATAGTTTTCAATGACACATGGGATTTTTAATGGATTTTAAAACTGTATAATTCTTCTTCCCTTCTTCCTGTAGGCTCTGGATCAGTATCACTATATGAGGTAGAAAGATGTCAGCAACTATCAGCTACAAGTAAGACCATGTTTCATTTTTGAAATGTGGGTATAATAGTGTGCATAATAAAGTCTATTGTTACCAACTGATTTGTTCCTATCTAATTTTGAGAGCAGATATCCATGAGAGCAAAAATATATCCCTATTTATATTTTATTTCCCTCCCTCATCCTAAGTGGCTTATATAAAATGGAACCCAGAAAGATACATGTTTTTACATTGACTATATAATTAAGTCACATATATGTAAGATTTATAAAACATATTCTATTTAACAGTGCAATGGGGCTTATTTTGAGAACATAAAATATCTTATACGACATAATTTTTATCTGTTCATGCTCTGCCCTTAGCTGTGTGCCCATAAAGGCGCTCCTTACAATATACTCCAAAACTTTAATGTTAGCAGTGATAGTAAATCTGTCAGATGCCCTCTTTCTGTTACTTCAGCTCAGATAAAAAAATTTAAGAACAAATATTTTTAAGCACAAGTCTATTAAATGAAATTCTGTAATATACTCTTAAAAAATATGAGTTTCTCATTATTTGAGAAATAACATATAATTATGAAATGGGAGAAAGCTCAAAGAAAGAAGCTTGTGGTGGTGTTATTGGAATAGGAAGTGTCAGTGTATACTCATGGTTTTATACACAGATACAGAAGTTGATGCAAATAGGTCTTTGTATATATGTATTCATTCAAATACATATTCATATAGGTGCATGTGTGTGAGTATAGGTATGAACACGTGTGCATATATACCCTATCTCTGTCCAGTTAAAGGGCTTTGAAATAATGGCACGGCCCAGTAGCAATGAAGGCACCTGGTGCACAAATCTTGGCTTATAAATAATACTCCCCCTTAAAAGGAGTCAGGGCTGCTTATAGAAATAGCAGACTCCAGGATTGGAACAGGAGAATTATAAGATGAGTCTGGAACATCTTGTGCCAGAAGGTAAAGAAGTTCTCAGTTAATAATGGAGCATGTCAAATTTGATACAATATGAGCATTAAAATAAAAAATACTAGCGATGGAATAAAACTGAATAAAATAGTAATCCATTGGTCCATGTGGGTAGTAAATAAAAGAACAAATGAATGAATAAATAAATGAGATTAAATGGAAAGCTCTTAGTTACAATAGAAAGATGACTAGTAAATGTAAAAGGAATGATGAAGTTAGGGAAGAAAATCATTTTGCAACCATGATAGTAATAATTGATTTAGTTGTAAATCATCAGTAGGTCCTAAACTATCAGGATCCTAAATGTTTACTGAGGAGTGGGATATTTATATTTCTCCAAGTACTTTCTTATTATAAAGGGGAAAATAATAAGTTTATAGTGGAGAGATCTGCTGAGTACCACCATAACCAACTGAGCAAAGTTACCATTCCCAGGAGTGAAAACACTGATAAAATATATACCTCTTAATACGATACAGAGAAGGACAATTGTATCACTTATTGTATAGCATACTGCCAAAAATGCATGATCTGTATCTGATCATGAGCAGAACCAGACACACCCAAATAAATGGCCTCTACTTCTCAAATATTATCAATGTCATGAAAGATAAAGAAAAGCTGAGGGACCGTTCTACATTAAAGGAGTCCAAAGAGACAGGAAAAATAATTGCAATACATGGTTCAGGATTGGATTCTGGACCTGAAAATAAAATTCTGAATAAGAACATTATAAGGGGGGGACAGATGGAGAAATTTGAATAATGTCTGTTGATTCAATGATAATTTTACATCAGTATTATAGGTTCTGAAGTTGGAAATTGCACTGTAATAGGACAATGAAATTTCTTGCAAAATACACACTGAGATATTTAGGGATAAAGGAGCATGATATCTGGAAATTATTCTCAAATGATTCATATATATGAATCTGTAAGGAGATACATATGGAGAGAGAGCTAAAGACATGATGATGATAAATGTGGCAAAATATTAACAAAGCTGACAATATAACTTTAAATAATTCAATTCTGTATCTGGTTTGGGGAGTTTATATTATGAATATTCTTATTCTTGTAGATTATTCTAATTAAAAATTCTTTTTAGTACTTACAGATCATCAATATTTAGAGAAAACCCCAATATGTGCTATTTTGAAACAAAACGCTCCTCAACAGTATCGTATTCGAGCAAAATTAAGGTCATATAAGCCGAGAATACTCTTTCAGTCTGTTAAACTTCATTGTCCTAAATGTCATGCACTGTAAGTATTTTCCATAATAAAATGGAAGTTTCTATTTCATAATGTTTATGAATATACATTTTCATATATATCAGTTTAAGTCCTGGCAGTGAGTAAATTATGACTTTGTGTATTGTATTTTGAAACAGTGGTAACTTTTTTTTGTTTTTTTTTGTTTTATTATGTTAATCACCATACATTACATCATTAATTTTTGATGTAGTGTTCCATGATTGTTTGCGTATAACACCCAGTGCTCCAGTGGTAACGTTTTTAAGAGAAAATACTAAAATCTTAGTAAATCGTTCTGATATTTCTTAGTAATGATAAGTAGGTGCTTTTTTGCAACCTGAAATTCAATTTAGTAGCTCTGATACATGGGAACAAATAATAAACTATAAAAATATTTGAGGAGGGACGCCTGGGTGGCTCAGTCTGTTAAGTGTCTGCCTTCGGCTCAGGTCATGATCTCAGGGTCTTGGGATCGAGTCCTGTGTTGGGCTCTCTGCTCAGCGGGGGTGTCTGCTTCTCCCTCTCTCTCTCTCTGTGCGCTCTCTCTCTCTCTCAAGTAAATAAGTAAAATCTTAAAATATATATATATATATTTGGGGAGACTTTCTCCTCACAAAAAAACTTAAAAATAAACCTTTAATAACTAAAATTTTTAAATAGAGAATTCTGCTTAGATGAAATTTTTTTTTTAAAGATTTTATTTATTCATTTGAGAGAGAGAGAGAGAGGCAGAGAGAGCACACACAGGGGGAGAGGGAGAAGCAGACTCGCCGCTGAGCTGGGAGCCCGATGTGGGGCTCGATCCCAGGACCTGGAGATCACGACCTGAGCCAATTGCAGATGCCTAACCATCTGAACCACCCAGGTGCCCCTGGATGAAATTTCTAAGTAAGTGTTAGAGAAAGCCTTGTTGGCAATACTTCTGTCTTATAATATGTTAAATATAATTTAAATTTTTATTAATCATTGAGAATTCTCAGTGCATCAGACTTTATTCCAAACATCAATTATTATATATATAAATAAATTTATAAGACATTAGAATGAATATGTACTTATTAGCTCAAGACATTCCGAAATTATTTTTAATCTCTTTTCCTTTTTTTATACAATTTGTCTTTCCTCTAAATATATAATGTGTAAATAAAGTACATTTCCATTTTAAAGTACTTACTTGTGTGTGCACATCTGTGTGCACACTAATACTAATGTATGTATATTTTCCCCTCCAAAATCTAAGTATGGTACTGTTTGTAGAGATTTTTGATCATCAAACCTTAAATAAAATGGGGGACCATCTGCTACCCATTTGAGCTAAAATGGTAGTTGGAATTAAAATATAAAAACAGACATCAGGTACTTGCTGAAGTATTATTAAATTACAGTTTGTCAAATTCTCTAAAGTCATATAGCTTTGCCAAACAAAGCCATCCTCTCTGAGCATTTTTTTAAACAAATAAAATCATCTCAGAAGGGTTAAGAGGTGTTACCTAAAGTTACACCAGCTGGTTGGGGACAGAACCAGGATAAGGACATAGACTTTTTGATTCCAGATCATGCCATTTCTATTGCATACATACTTTACCAGGTGACTTTTTAAAATTATTATTCTAAGTTAAAAGTAATCAAAGAGAATGTTGATTAGTAAAGTAGGTCCCCTATGAAAGGGGAATTACTTAGGTGGTAAGTGGATATTGAATGGGCAGCTGTCTTTTTTTCCCCACAGAGAAGTTTAACATTCTATACAAGAGGAGAATTAATTGGTGCTAGAAATAGTTATAAGATCCTTGGTATCACAAAACCAGATAAGGAAATTCTTGGCAGTTAATGTAATTATGGTATGGATCTACTTAGTCATGAAGTATCATCAAATACCTTTTTTGTTGAATAAGAGTCATTTAATCTGCAAAGTGAACTATCTCCATATTTTAAAATAAGTAGCTGGCTCATCAGCATATAAACAATTTTTTTAAATTGGATAATTTGTTAAATTTGATTTTCTAAGCTTATACCAATTGTTTTGTATTTCATTGTCAATGATTTTAGGCAAGAAGTTCCACATGAGGGTGATTTGGATACAATTTTACAAGAGGGTGCAAGTAAAACCCCAGATATCAAACTACAAAATACATCATTATATGATTCGAAAATGTGGACCACTACAGATCAAGAACGAAAAGTTGCTGTTCATTTTGTAAAAAATAACGGTATTCTTCCACTTTCAAATGACTGTCTGATTTTGATAGAAGGTAAAGTATTTTAGTTACTGTTTTACTAGAATATAGCTTTTGCTTATGTCTTTCTCTGATTAATGATTGTTAAATATATTTTAGGGGCAACCTAGGACATATAAAGTCAAAATGTTATTTTAACTTCCGTAAAATGGAATATATTATATATAACGGGTAGATTTAAATATATACATATACACAGACATAAATTAATCTGAATGACATTTTGAAGTTATACATTGAACTCAAGTGTTTGCATTTGTCCACCTTTTTGGATATAATCTTAATGAGATTCAAGCTCATTGTGGAGCTGAGTATTAATCAAGAGGATGCTTGTTAGGTACAGTTGCTGCTGTTTTGGCCTCTGGATGTCACTGTTGTTCCATAAAAGTAGAATGAAAGTCATCTATTGATATGTAAGTCAAGGAAGGGACCCTTGAAACAAGTGAAGATAACTCGACATATGTCTTAAAAGAGTGAAACTGAGTCATATTTATTTTTGCATTTCCTTTCCACTTTTGTCTAATTTTAATCTGATGTTTATCACATATATATACCACATATTTTTTCCCATGCCAAATTTAGTTTCATTATTTTCCTTGAGACTTTTCTTCCTTGAGAACATTCCATAATAAAAGTAGAACATCATCTTTAATTTGCAGAGAAATCTTTAGTTTTATTTTATAAATGAACTGATCTTTATTACAGTGGATTATGATCATTTTTATTACTCACATTTTTCTGTTTATAAAAGTAATATGTAATTGTTTTAGTGTATGTGTGTATATATATATACACATATATATATATGAATACACATGAATATTACCATTGGTATTATTTTCATGAACATCTTTTATTTTAACATATTTATGGTTTACCAGAAATGATTTTCATTTCTATGTATTTAATTACAATAATCCTATTCAGCTAGTACTATTATAAGCTGTTTTTTATACATGAGAAAACTGAATCATAGAGAAGTTGTAGGTCTTTCCCAGTACAGGTAGAAGTAGAACTGAATTGTTCCCTGTTTTTTTTGACATAGTAACTCTACAGTGAACTTTATCTTCCCTCTGGATGAAGTGTAGTTAGGGGGGCACAAGGAATTAAGTAAATGTTGCCCAATTACTTTCCAATAAAGCTGTCATAGTATTCATATGCTTTAGTAGCATATGAGATTATCTGTCCCCCCAACCTCATCATCATATACTAGCACTTAAGAAAATTTGTCCACCTTGGTGAGTGAAATGTGGTATCTTATTCCATTAGCAATATTTTAATCTCTACCAGGAAATAGATATAAAAACAAAACACACAGACACATGCACACACAAAAAATGGAGTAAGACTGTGTGCTCTAAAAACAAAATAAAGCCCTGGACCTATCAGGTTCTGTAAGAACTGTCCTTGTAGGGCCAGCTAAGAGGATATCAAGTATAACATAGGGTTCTTCTGTGTTACACAGCCTCCCACAATTCTGTGATGAAGTCAATCAAGTTAAACTTAAGGGTTCAAAAGAAGCTTGAAGAAGTACCTTTAGCTCCTGATCCTATCTTTAATTACCACTCATACCACAAACTTTCAATCTCATCTACAATTTCTCAATTCTCATTCCACCCTCCAGCCATATCAAACTGGTGGCAGAAATATCTACCCTAAACCCAGGATATTTCTCTGTGCCTCTTTGCCATTCCATTGCTGTTCTGAGAATTTTTGCTCTAGTACATGTTGAGAAGAAACTCAGTAATTCCTGTTACTCAGCGATTCATGTGAAATACTTAATGAGCATCTACACATACAAAGCAGTCTTCTGATTCACCAGGCAGATTTGAGTGGTTCTTATTGCATAGCGTATGACCTTTCAGTAGATCACTTTTCTTCTTGTATTATATTTGCATCATATCTGTCTTTTATAGATTTGTTTGCTTATTAGAATGTAACTGCCCTAAAGCGCAGGATACATGTTTATTTTAATCTATATATCTTCAGCACCTAGGGTAGGACAACAGGCATGCAGCTGGTTCTCAGTAAATATATATTAAGTAAATAAGTATATCCAGAGTAATAACACTTTTTAATGAAAGTCAATGAAAATATATCTGAAAGCACTTTAAAATTTAAAAGTGTTCCATCAAAATGCAAGCTATTTTTATTTTATCGTATTTCTGAGTATTATAACCTTAATCAGAGCTAGGATCTAACTGCAGTATGACATGGCAGAACTGTGGTTTCCACAAAGTTGTGCAAAGAGGAATGGGACCCGGGCAAGTTGCTGTCCTTACCAAGATTTATCTCCTTTTTCTGAATAAATGCTCCTTGGATTGTTTCAAGACTTTGGTTAATTTCTAGAGTTCCGAAAACAAATTTGACAGTTTTGGCCAATGTTCTTTTTCCTTGTATGGAGCAGTGTATTTTTGGAAGTCCTTACTCTGCTGTGCTGGAAGTGCTCCCCCTCACAATTGAGTTTAACATTACAAATTTTAGGAAGTACATGAAAGTATTTTTATAAGTCGTATTCTCTTTCCTGGGAGAGGAAGAATTATCAATCTAGGTGAAAAATACACCAGAAAAGGTACCAGTAGGTTTGAGTGATTAGAGTACTGCCTTCTGGTAGTAGTGCACCACTGGGCATCCTCTTTCTTCTCAGCCCACATGACGGCTTTTAATGGCCACTTTGTCATAGAATTGGAAGTATTGAGGATTTTTCAGGAAAAACGAACAAACACTATACATGAATTATTATTATCTGAACTTTTTGCATCTGTACTTATTTATTTCACAGAGAGAGATAGCGAGGGCAGGAACACAAGCAGGGGGAGTGGGAGAGGGAGAAGCAGGCTTCCCACCGAGCAGGGAGCCCGATGCGGGGCTCGATCCCATGACCCTGGGATCATGACCTGAACTGAAGGCAGACGCTTAATGACTGAGCCACCCAGGCGCCCCCTTGCATCTGTATTTAAATATAAAGTTGACCTGAAAGTTTAAAAGATTTATTTCAAACTCAAGACTACATTTACCTAGACATTATTAGTGTGTATAGCAAATTTAATAATGAGAATCCTGTTATACTTTGGCTCTCAATTTTATTTTCTTTTGAATACTTAACCAAAGTGTTCTGGCATAAAAGAGCAATTTGTATAAAAATTTAGGAAAATGGTTAAAATTTCACAAGCCTTGTATTTTGCTCAAGTCTCAGCATTTTTGTGCAGTGGTTTCTTAAATCAGCGCAGGATACTAAGTTTACAAATTATTATATTTTACAATAAATGTATTAATCATCTAAATTCATGCCTTCATTGTCTTTTTCTTTCAGTCCCCTTAGTCTTTTACTATACGTCATGTGTTACTTAATAGACACTCGATCTTGCCTTCATTATATTTGTACTACTTGAAGGATTTATTTATTCTTTGTTAATAGGAGGTACACTTGGTGAAATCTACAAACTCGCAAACAAGTTTCATAGTGTAATTCCTGTGAGATCTGGCCATGAAGACTTGGAAGTCCTTGATCTTTCAGCACCATTCCTTATACAAGGAAAAATACATCACTATGGGTATGCTTTCAAATCTGGGAATTTTGGGAATTAAAAACTGCATAGCAATAATTTTTATTATTTTATCCTAGTAGTAGCTATATAGTCAATGGATACCAATTTATATGTACTAGATTTTTGTGGTATATATTTATTCTTTTGGTAGCATATGTATTGACTACCTACAATGTGCTAAGTATAAGGCTAACCCAGGGGCTAATATTCGTTTGTTTTCTTTCATAAAGATTTAGATAATAGTACAGAGAAAGGTTCAGAGCTGTATCCTCATAAAAGTTAAGTGATTGAATTCCAAAGTTTCTGTGCCAGGAAGTTACAGAGTAGTTGGCACTGAGGAATTGGAAGATAATCAGAATATATTAGGAGCTAGAAACAGGCATGCATTTCAAGAAATTTGTAGTCTCTCTTGTACTTTTTTAACTTTATGGTTTCTTTTATTTTACAAATTTTTAAAATAGTAATATGATTATATTTATCAAAATGCTTGTGAAATCTTAAAGATTTTGCTTACTTAGGTTTTAGTTACTTTATTCAGATTTCTGGACCTGATTCTTTTTAAACAGAATTTAAACTAATGCTTCAGTTTCTTTAACAGTTATACATCTCTTACGGTTTTTTATTTCTTGAATCTATTTTATTAATGGATTTTTTTTAGAAAAGTTTTCATCTCTAATGTAAATTTAAATTTATTGACATAAAAGTGTTTATAGTACTTTTGATGATTTTTAAATCTCCACTTTGTTCATGAATCCACTTAATATTATTTGCACCTTTTTTTTTTACCTTTTTTGCCAAAGCAACTAGATTTGTTCTGATACTCGCTATTGTTACATTATTGTTCATATCTTTATTTTTTGCATTTATTTTTTTTAGGTTTCCTTGGCTTTTCTTTTTTTATCTTTATTTTCTGCATTTACTTTTTTTAGATTTTTTTGGTTTTTCTTTTTCAAACCTTTTTAATTGAATGCTTATCTCACTTATTAATTTTTCATATATTTTTTAATATTTACATTTAAGCCCATAATATTTCCCCTGAGAAAATGGCCATAGCTTTAACGCAGGATTTGATAGGTAGTGGTGTTTGTTCTTTTTTTTTTTTTAATCTCTTCTAAATGTTTCCTAATTCTCATTATGATTTCTTCTTAGGCCCATGAATTATTTAACTGTGTTTTGAAGTTTTCACAGACGCATTTTAGGTTCTATATATTTTTTTGTATTGTATTGTATTTTATTTTATTTTTTTAAAGATTTTATTTATTTATTTGACAGAGAGAGACACAGCGAGAGAGGGAATACAAGCAGGGGGAATAGGAGAGGGAGAAGCAGGTTTCCCGCGGAGCAGGGAGCCCGATGCGGCGCTCGATCCCAGGACCCTGGGATCATGACCTGAGCCGAAGGCAGACGCTTAACGACTGAGCCACCCAGGCGCCCCTTTTTTGTATTTTAATTAGATTACTTTTTAACCAAATAACTTGATATATATCATAATGATTCTTTGAGATTCATTTAGCTTTGCTTTATCCCAAAATGTTTGTTCAGATTTTGTATATATTGCCTATATTTTAAAAAGAACATGTATTCTTTAATAGCTGTGTCTAATGTTTAATAGTGTTTAGTTATGTCCGTTAGACAAGCTTGTTAATCATATTCAAAACTTCTTTTTCCTTTGTAACTTTGTCTGTTTAATCACTTAGAGAGTGTGCTTAATGTCCTCTTTGGTGGTATGTTTGTGATCTTTTATTCTGTCAGTATTTGCTTTGTATATTTTGAGGCTCTTGATGGTTTGCTTTCATGTTTCTTTGTTGTTACATTTTAGGAAGTCTCATAAATAAATAATTAGGACTAGATTTTAGTTTTTTAATAGATGAGTTTAAAATGTTAATTACTGATATATTTAGGTTTTATTTCTATGTTTTATGTTGTTCTGTACTCACACGTCTACTCTTTCCCCTTTTTTTGTTATTATTTAGCTTATTTTTTTCCTCTAGTCTTCTATTGGATTCATTTATAAAAATGTTCTTAATTTTTCCCTTTTCCCACTTTTACTGATTTGGAAGTAATGAATTCTGTACTTAATTTTTACTTGTTACCCTTATATTTTAATTTGTATACTTAATTTTTAGCTTGCATACTTGCTTTATCAATGTCTAGAGTTAATATCACAGCCTGTTTTTAAGGAAATAATGTCTTCATTCTATTGCCTTTTTCTATTAAAGAAGAAGTATCTATGTATTTGAAGGGTGGAAGAGGAGAATATTTAATATAGGGACCCTCTGTTTTTCGCCAGATTAGAAATGAAAAGGAGTCTGCATGAACCTTTTGGACATTGATTTTTATATTTTTATTCAAGTATATTTTCTTATCAACATCTAATCTTATGATGATATAAAAAATAATTACTTGTACTTAAAGTATGTTTGTATATAAATCAAAATACCTATACTAAATAACGTGCATTTTTAGTATATTTTATAGTTTCAGATTGACTTATATTACAAAAGATAAGTATAATATTAGGCATTATAAACTGTGAACCTCTAAATATGTGTTCACTGAATATATTATTCAAAGTCTTGCTAGTACCGACTTCCTTATTGAGAATAGTTTTCTCCTATTGGTTATATTTACTTAAGACCTTAGCTGTTATCACAGAGCCATCAAATGAAAGAGTCCTCAGAGATGTCTTTTTCAACTTTGTTTTGCCAACAAAATCAGCCAAATTAATTAACAATGTGAATCTGGACCCTCTCTCTTGTTCTCAACTTAGTTGTTTATTCTGAACCATACTATCTTTTTGATTGCTTCTGTTGTAAAAAGCTTATTTTTTTTTTACAATTCTGCTTGTAATATGTACATTACAATATGAAAGGTGCAACACTGTTGTTTAATAATTAACTTCAAACTGCATGTTTGAACAGTGAAGATAAGTTATAATTAAATGTTATAATAATTATTTTTAAATGCCTATGGTTTTTTTCTGTCATTAATTTCAGATGTAAACAGTGTTCTACTTTGAGACCAATAAAAACTCTAAATTCCCTGGTTGATAAAACACCATGGATTCCTTCTTCTGTGGCAGAAGGTTAGCAAATTTCTGTGTCCTGCAACTATAACTGTGTTCGTATAAGGTGACCTCACTGATTCTATTTCAGTTGTTGATATTGTAAAACCAGAGCAAAGACTGAGCTAAAGTTTAAACTTTACTTAAAACAGTTCACGGTGATTATAATAAAAGTATAAAGTGAAGTTTAAAATGTTTGAAAACTTGCTTCCAGGATCTGCCAGTATCTTTAATCATTACAATTTAATGTTCAATAATTTGTTTTAGTAGTGATTATTAATCATAAATACAGATTCTGAAAAATCCCTCCAGTTCACAGTATTTTTGTATTAAAAACAGTTTTAGAGATGGCTATTACAGCTCTTTACCCACTACGCATCTTTAGCTGGAATAATAAGAAACTTTTTATATCATATTCTTTAACTGTGATCATCCAGCATTGGCTTAAAACTCTGTCATTGACAGGGGACTGATTACATTGCAAGGCAACATACCCCTTAATTTTTAAGTAGTTCTTGGTGAAGCAAAACTACGGACCACATTCTGTCCACTAGAATTAGAATACATGCCTTCTGTAAGATTAACAGGCTTTGCACATTTGAAGGTATCTGTCAAACCTTCACTGAGTCTTTATTTTTCCAACTAGGCACCCTCACTTCATTTGGTATTTTCCCACATTCCCTACTATTTTGTTTTCCTCCTTAGCAAACATTTCATTTTACCAATGTTCTCAAAGTTTGGCATTAAAAGCTGCAAATAGGGCTGCAAATGTTGGCCAGTTCAGAATATAAAGAAAACCTTTATTTCTCTAAAATTGGACACTTTGCTTCTACTAGCCTGAAAATTTTATTGTATCAATATTTATTTGTGTACTTGGTTTTGTTTTTTTTTTTTTTTTTCTTTGCAATCTAACTGTATGATACTGCTATCTCATATTTTGTTTGTGGTCCAGTGAAATTCCAGGTTCCTTTCATTTGAGCTCCCTGCTTTCCAGCGTGGTCTCCCCATCCCATTCTTAATGCAATTCTTTGTGTGTGTGGTCCCTCAGGGTAGATTTTACATTCACCCTTCTTGGTATTAGCTCAGTTTTAACCTATGGAGACCTTTAGAATCCTACAAATCAAGTCCTCTGTATTAACAATTTTTGTCATGTCTGTATGCCCTAATTCATTTCTCTGTATTCTGATTTATTCTTCTTACTTGTCCCTTAATTAATCCTTTTAAATATGGATTCCACAAATGAAAGATAGTATTTCATTTTATAAACATATTAAATGTCTCCCATTTCCAAACACAAAGTACCATTTTAACCTATGAATTTTCGTATCATTTAATATCTCTTTAATTTCTTCTTCCTCATCTTATCAAATCATGAAATCCCATCTTCTGACATTTTTGTCCATTCAACTAGATGATATCTTAAAAAATAAGTGATCCCTATATTTATAATACAAAGGGGAGAGACGTTACAAAATCATAAATTTTTTTAGAACGTTCTGGTATTTTAATTTTGTCTTTTATGAGGCTAACATGCAATGAATTGTAGTACATGAATGAGTTTTTATGTTTTCTATCAAGTTATCAACTCATTTTAAAGATACATTATATTAATATTTCATCAGTGCTCATGAGTCATTGCCGCTATATAGGTATAGTGTAATGTTCTAAAATGAATCTGCTAAATGAGTTTAATATATATTGTTATTGGAGAACAAAAGGCATATATATAAGTTGTTTATCTTAAATTATTTTAATAAACAAAACTAACAATATCATACAACAACTTTTACTTTACTTTGATTTTATGGAATAGAAGATTCATATGGTTTGATCTTTTTTCCCTTCACTAGTACTGGGTATTGTACCCCTTCAACATGTGTTTGTAATGACATTTACTCTTGATGATGGAACAGGAGTATTGGAAGCTTATCTCATGGATTCTGTAAGTAACAGAGGTAGTGTAGATATTTCTAAGTAAAATATTTTTTTAATTTTAATGTATTTATTCATTCCTACTTTATTACTGAGAGGATTTAAGACAACTTAAAAAAATAAAATGCAAGCACATAAATTAAGGTGTCTGTATATTTATCCTGTTTTGATTTGACTCTAAATTTAATATCCATGTAATGATAAATTGAAGAATAGGAATTTGAGGAGAGACTCTTCAGTTTTGCTCCAGGAGCCAAAGGCAGAAGTGTGAGCACACCTTCTGTCTAGCAGCATTTCACTAGGTTTTTGAAGTCTCCACATTTCCATATTAAAGGGAACTAAATTACTTTGGAAGGTCGGTGGCTATATTGTGTGAAGCTAGGGAGCTATCCATAAACCTCCCTCATTTCTAACAACAGTTCCAAGCTTGGGGGTTCTCAGGACCACCCTTAAGTTTTGATAATCCACTAGAAAGACTCCCAATAACTTCCTATAAGTTATAAATGCTATTATGGTTTATTACACCTAAAGGATACAAATCAAAATCATCCAAGGGAAGAGCTGCATAGGGCAGAGTCCAGGAAGTTCCAAACATGGAGCATCCAGTTGTCCTCTTCCCATGGAGTAGCAGACAGTGTTACCAGCCTGATAATGATGTGTCACAGTACACATGTATTGTGTATTGAGAGCCAGGGAAGCCTCACTGAGCCTTAGTGTCTAGAGTTTTCACTGGGGCTCTGTCATGTAGTCATGGTTGACAGCCCATATGGCTGATCTCAGTTTTCAGCCCCTCTGAAGATCAAGCTAATATCACATTCCCCAACCTCCGCACCCTGTATCTCTAGTGTGACAAACAAGGACATTCCTAACAGGCATATTCGAAGGGTTTAAAGATTATTTCCAGAAGCCAAGGGCAGATGCCAGATTTCTGTTAGTGGTAAGGTCGAATTTTTTTACTGCACACATTGGGAAACAATCTGGGGTAAGGTTGAGAGAATTTTTCCTCCCACCTAAACAATTCATTTGTCCATTTATCAAATAAATATTTAATGAGCACCTGCTGTGTGCTAGGTACTATTGTATATGATGGGGTTATAGCAGTGAACAAAGCAAACAAAATCCCTTCTTTCAGGAAAGTATAGTATAAACTGATAGAGGAAAGAAAAACAAATATACAACATATGTTATACTCTTTTAAACTTAACACTAGATTTTTTCCTATACACAAAGAGAATGATAGACCTCACTCTTTTCTAAATACCATTATTCTTACTATCATTAAGTCAGAGCAGTTAATGGGATTTTTTATATGTATATCTCAATACTGTTTTTAGATTAAAGTAGTAAATCATATTTTAAGAGTTCAGACTAGAACTCTGAATTCTACAATCTTGATAGAATAAAATAGTCTAGATTATTTTAATTAGATAATATTGAAATACTTTTCATATTAATTATGACTTTAAAAAAAAGATCAACTTCCTGGGCACCTGGGTGGCTCAGTCAGTTGAGTATCTGCCTTCGGCTCAAGTCATGATCTCAGGGTCCTGGGATCGAGCCTGTTGTTGGGCTCCCTGCTCAGTGGGGAGTCTGCTTCACCCCTCCCTCCCCCCTCCCCCTGGTAGTGCTCTCTCTCTCTTTCTCAAATAAATAAAATCTTTAAAAAAAAAAAAAGATTAATTTCCTTTTTTCTTCTATAATTTTTTTTAAGGACAAATTCTTCCAGATCCCAGCATCAGAAATCCTAATCAATGATGGCCTTCAGCAGAGTATGGATATGATCTTGGATATGTTTTGTCCTTCAGGAATAAAAATTGGTAGGCAATAATATTTTTTAACAGTCTCATCATTCTTTTTCTTGAAACAGTATTTAACATGTATCTAATCTGTAGACTTAGAGGTATGAAAACTTTGAAGTCTGAATCTAAATAAATTATTGTCTGATCTGCCTTTTGATGAAGACAGTGGCAGGGAGAAAATAGTTAAGAATCATAGTTCCTGAAATGAAAAGATTTTTAAATTTTTTGAAATATAATAAAGGGGAGGCAGTTTTGATCACAAGGACATTTGATACTGTTTTTATGCATACAAACATTTGAAATTTTGACAAGAAACATTTTCTATAACAGGCTTCATTTAGCCAGTTTAATTCATTCATGAATTTCTGTTCATATTATTAATATCATAATATTAACTAGTTTCAGGTTTTATGCATTTTTATTTTACTAATTGTTTTTTATCAGCTGTAGTTCTCTGGATAACATTTGATTCATCAACCAGATGTTCAGGTCAAATTGTATCGATTACATCTACTGCCACTGACTTCCTTTTGTGGCCATTATTTCTGCTTACATTGAAATTTGAAGACCTCAATCATAGTAAGACAGTTTGATTCTTCTAACAATTTTTCGTCAGTAACAAATTTTGCCAGCTGCAGGTTTAGCTGCTGTCAGTTTAATTTTTTTAGGTTATTTTTAATCGGCCTTTATTTTCCCCTGGTCAGTCTTTGAATTTTGTAACAACTCCAAAAAGATAGCTTTTATACATCTGTAACAAGGTTTAACTTACATACTTTTATTTGATGGCAGCTTTGATTTTGGTTTTAATTCTTTTGGATAGATTTCTTGAAATAAACGTCTCATTAAAAAGCACGGGTTTGGTAGGCTTTTGATACATGCTGCCAGATTGCTTTTCAAGAATATTTTACCTATTTATAGTTCTACCAGCAGTGGAGGAGAGTGCCTGTCTTGCTTGACTCTTGCCAATATTGACTATATTAAGTGACTTTTAAACTTGAACTTGAAGAAGCATTAAGAAACTTTTCTAGAAATATTAAATAGATTTATTGCTGTCATGACCGAAGCTTGGAAATAGCACCTACAGCTGCCAACATTGTCTGGACTCAGTGCCTGGTACCTGATGGGAGTTTCAGCTAGTCAGGTGTATAAGAGCCTGAGCTGATGTGAACCTCAGGTTCGGTTTCTTTGCAGTCAACCAAGAAAAAAAAGAAAAACAAACAAAAAAACCTGGGGAGGTCAGCAGCAGGAAGAAAAGGAAGAAAAGTTGGGAATGAGATGGCTGCTACCTTTGTTGTCAAACATTTGGAAAACCCTACATTTAATTATTGTTTTCTGTTGGAAAAAAAATCAAATTAGGATTGTTACAAAACAGTAACAAGAAACCAGTGTGTATTTGGAAGAGTAGATAATATTAAATTTGGTAAGTGTATTTACTTTTCAAGCTAAATTAAATTTTAATTTTTCTAGCTAAGCATTATGCTTAGATACATATTTCAGAGATATTTGTTTAGTTTTAATGGTTAAGTAACATTTTTTTCTCATTTGTAGATGCATATCCGTGGTTGGAATGCTTCATCAAGTCGTATAATGTCACAAGTGGAACAGAGCAGCAAATTTGCTATCAGATTTTTGACACCACAGTTGCAGAAGATGTAATCTAATATTGTCATTCAGCTTAGCATATGTAAAATACTGTAATTTTAGAAAACATTATTTTCTGTGAGATTGTTATAAAACATGTAAAGGTTTAACTATATAGTTTACCTTTCATTTTAACCACAGTGTACATTTTTTTTCACAAATAACATTGTGTTATCTTAATGCCTTCTTGTGAATTAAGTTAAAAATGTTCCTTTTGCTCAAAATTTCCAGTATGGTGGCGGCTAGGGGCATAAAGGAGAAAGGGGAATAAAGAAGGACTGTCTTCATTCACCCCTTGCAGCCCTTTCGGAGAACCTGTTCTGTACCCTACACTAAAAATCACTTTCCTTGTTGTTTTTTCCATGTGTCAGCCACTAATTTGTCTGCCCGCCACCATCTGTGCTTGGCTTCTTTTCCTACCCTGGTTCAGCATTGTTAATGATTTTAGCATGGGTATGGGGTTAGAAAACGTCCTTACGTTAACTCACTCAGCTTTTACTGAGTGCAAAGTATGTAACGGCTAGCGGTTTGGTTTTGCACAAAGGGATCTGCTTAAACAAGTAGTCTTGTGGAGAAGTGCTCTTCTGAGTGAGCTGCAGCGTACTTAACAGGAGTGGTTTACTTTAGGTCTATGTGGCAGAGTTGCTGTCTTCCGGTGCTATAGACCAATTTAGGATAAATCCATTTTCTAAGACCTGAATTGTGTGCTTTTGATTGCTTGTTTCTCTACATGATATTAGAAGTTATTGCATTGCACCTTGATCTGATAAAGCAGTCAGGTTTATTACAATGTTACTGACTTACATTACCCTTTTTTAATAGTCTTACGTAATATATATTTCAGACTGAACATGGAATGAGATATTAACTCAAAGAGTAGTCCGCTTTTTATCTGACAGTGTTTGTGAAATTTAAAATCATGAATATTCAGTTTTATACAAATACTTGTATATATTTGTATATATGTATAGACGTATGTATATTATTTGGTAAAGACTAAGACATACACATATGCCTAGTTCAGTATTAGTGAAGAATAAATTAATGTACATATTTCACCTGTTTTCTTTATTTGCCCTTTTTTGAGTTGAGGCGTGATTGGAGGCAAAGAATCAAAGCAGGAATGCCAATATAGCAGATTCTTAAGACTGTCTATACAACAGGAACTGTGCAAAGCATTTAACATATATCTGAGTTTCGCAACAACCATTTTCCTGATAAAACTGAGGCTTGGTGAGCTGACTTCACGAAGTTCACATGGTTACTAAGTGCTAGTCAGTACGTGTATTCTGGTAATCTGTGTTCAGAGGCTGCACTGCCAACCATGCCAGGATTCTGGGGCAACAAGCTAGCATGGGGTTTTCTGGAAATGAGTTCTCCCTTAACGTATTTGAAGTAACATTGGAAACAGATTATGAGAGGAGTCAGTGTTATGTTTTCTTACACTCTCAAAAGGCTTTTAACATTTTATTGGCAAAAAAGGTTCAAATACTCAATTTCCTCTGCTCATAATAATTCCATATTCTAGTTCCTGAGTACATTAGCCCATCCCCAGACCTAACTACCCATCTCCCATCACTGAATTACCATCTTGTCGGAGATGGTAGAAAAAGAGGCTGATGCTGCTGTTTTGGGTGTAAACTCTTAGTTCAAAACATCTTCAGGGAAAAGTTTTAGGAACCTTGTGAATGAACTGATTGATTTCAGTATCAATGGTATGCTGGGGATACGAAGGCCAGGAGCCATTTTCTCTTCAGGAGGCACCGAGTCTAGAAGAGGAGGGGTCAGAAGGTACGTCAGGTCACAGTGCTGTCTCCAAGTTGATAAAATAAAACTCCTCACATGAGTCTTTACTGGGATAGGTCATTGCTCTTTTCTCTTTTTTTTTAGTAAACCCTCACATTGTCCTCATTTGTTTTTCAGCTTTTCAGCTTTGAACAAGAAGAGTTCTATTAATACCTAGTGTTTATCTAGTAATGATGTGTGCATCTTACCTTTATCAGGACCCGGGAAAGCTAGGAGAATTCTGTATCTGGAGCAACAAGTAGACAGGCATTCACTGTGCCCCGATTTGAGCCATGTCCCCTTTACTGTCCATGTAAATAATGGTAGCCTTCCTATCAGATATAAAATTACATAAATTTAAGCATGTAGTTTGTGTATAGCCTTTTGCTCAAATTCCATTCTCTGCAGCATCCATTAGATACTACTGGATTGTCTCTTTAGCCCCTGCTCTGTTCAGTATGAGGAAGAGAAGGCATAGCTTAGAAAATCTGAGGCAGTCGATTACACAATAATGAGAAGTGCACTGCTCACATGCTCTTTCTGTCCCTACACTCCATTATACTGCTTTATTTGAGGGAACTATACCGGCCGAGATGCAGTGCATAATTCCCCCTCCTCCCCCCTTTCTTTTTTTTTATACCTGGCCGTGTTGCACTTTGGGAGTTGTTTCTGAATGAATATAGAGAGGCTGGTGTGAATGGACTAGAAGAAGCTGAATACACCTCTGTCTACCTGAGAAAGCAGTCTCCACACAATGGGGCACTGGCTGCGCAGTTTCTGAGTCCATATAGTTCCTGGGCTGTAGCTACTTGCAGGTCACAGAGATGGGCCAGAATCTTTAACCAGCTGTGCTCGTCTGTTTCCAAAGTCAAAGCATGAGTTTGTCACTATTTGTGACTCTCAATCCAGCCAATTCTCTTCTACACTTTCTGGAAGCTTTCCTTGGTATCTGGGGAAATAGCTGGATTCTTCTGATTATTTTCAGTGTTTTGAATTTTGACCATGTATTTCACCAAGTTTTGTTTCTATCCAGAATTCTTTTAAATAAAAGTAATACGTATTTGTAAGAATTGAAACAGCATGAAGTATATGAAGTTGAACTAATTCTTACTCTAACTAGTACCCCAGAGGAAACCACTTTTAACAGTTTGGTGTATGATTTTCCAGACTGTTTTCCCTAAGAATGGGTAAATATGTGTATGTATACTTTTTAAAAATAACATCATGCTATAAATATATTTCTGCAACTTTTGTCACTTTATAAAGTAGACCTTGTTCTTTATAACAATACATATAGAAGGAGAAACTTGTTTGTAATTACTCAGCGTAAGTAACTTTTTAGGGAATTCTCTGATTATTTCACTTTCTATTTTTATCTTGATTTTTGGTCTATTTAAGTGTTCTATTTCTTACTGTAAACAGTTTTGGAATTTTTTATAGGAATGTATGCATGTTACCTATTTTGTTGACTTTATCGCCTTATAGTTATTCATAATATTTTATTATTATTGCTTTAGTCTGTGATTTGTCTGGTGTTATTTTCCCTTTAAATAAATCTGAAGCCCCTGGGACCTGGTTTCATTGTTTCTACTGGAGGTTCTTAGGTGATGAGAATTTTGAAGACCTGTCCAACTTTTAGTACAGATTAGGACTCTGCCATGACACAGTTGTCTTGAGATATTCTTTAATGCTTCAAAGGACTCATTGTAGAAAAAGAAGAATTTATGTTAATGTAAGAAAGGAGAATGCCTCCTGTAAGGCTTTTCATTACAAAAAAGGCTTTATGATGGCCATGATGAGTCACCCTAAAGTTCTAAAACATCATTAGAGGGGAAATAAAGATATGTCTTCCCGTGTTTGCCCTGCAGGATCTCTGGATGGCGTCAAAGCCTCCTTCCCACTCCAGGAAAAAGACCTAGTCAGCTGGTAAAATCTGGGCCTAGTAATCTTTCTTCTCTTCCCTCTGGTACTTGGAAATAGTATCAGAACTCACTAAACAGGAAGTCTGCAGTGTGCTCAGGTATGTGAGATCACATCTTCGTTTGGCAGCCAGGGAATGAATCAGTAGCACCATGTATTATTTTTCTCTGCAGTATTGTGATTTAAGAAATTTGAGATCACTTAGGGTTTCGAAGTGATGGTCATCTTACATGGAGATAAATGTCCTTCCATTCAGGACTGCATATGATGGATTGAGAAAGTGTTAGGTATCAATTACAGTGATAAGGATAATGCATTAATGTATATGGGAGCTCTCCCTCAGATGTGCCAGCTGGTGAAACATGGATAGTTCAGAGACTGTCTGTTTTTTCCCCTTGAAATCTAGGCCATAAAGGCACATTGGTATAGCATGCGCATGTGTGTGCACGTGTGCGTGCACATGCTTGCTTTTATTCTGTGCTTTGAGTTCACTTTGCAGGGTACTATATTAGAATTTACCTGACAACCTAGTCCACAACTACCAAAGAAAGACATTTTTAAGACGTTTTCAACTTGTGTGAAAAGTTTCTTTCATTTCATCTGTTGACAGTAGTCTGAAGATTTGGAGCATGTGTTCATTGAAAGCCTTCTTATCATCTATTAATATATTCCATCAAATATTGTTACAGTTTCTAAACAAGTACATTTTTTTTTTCAAGATTTTTTATTTATTTATTTGACAGAGAGAGAGACAGCGAGAGCAGGAACACAAGCAGGGGGAGTGGGAGAGGGAGAAGCAGGCTTCCCGCAGAGCAGGGAGCCCGATGCGGGGCTCTATCCCAGGACCCTGGGATCATGACCCGAGCCGAAGGCAGACGCTTAACGACTGAGCCACCCAGGCGCCCTAAACAAGTACATTTTTATATACAACCCTGAATCTCTGGTATATACCTTTTTTTTTTTTTTCCTATTCCTTCAGAATGATTTTTCCCTTCTTTGAAATATGAACTTGCAGATAAATGTCAGTTTGTTTTTACATATTACTCTATTCCTCAGCAGATCTTTGTCCTCCATTGGAGGGCAGAGTCCTTCTAGAATTTAAAATCTTGTACCAAATTAGCTACTTTTTAAATGACTTTTTGTCTCAAGCTTCCGTAACAGTAATTAGGAAAGAGAACACATTTTAAAATCAAAAGTATTAACTTGTGAGTCACATGAAAACATAGCTTGCAGTGGATAGGCATAGTTGTGGTTTTATTTGGTTAGATAGGAAATCCTGTGTGTTTATTCCCATTAGATTAGGTTTAGGAGCAATAAACTTGTACTTAAATTTTGGAATCATTGACAAATATTTCTGCACAATGATCAAAGCTTGAATGGAGCTTAAGAAAAAGAATACAGAGTACAAAATAGGTATGTATTTAGAAGTCAGCTCATACATTTACATTCATTTATTATTCATACGGTATCTGTATCCACAAAGAATTTCAGATGGTTTAAAATAAAAGACAGACATAGGACCCAATCTTTTGAAATAGGGCAAGAAGACAAGAGCCAAATAGGGGAGTTACTATTAAAACAATTCATTATTCCTAACCTAAGGGATACTATAGGCTTTGAACAAAACTTAACTATACATGAAAAATGCAACAGGTTACATTGCTCTTATTAACAAAGTTCTTATATCTTTAGTAGATACAAACCTTTTATTTATCTCGACAAAGAGTAGCAAGGTGGACTTTTATATTAGGCACACAAAACAGAATATTTTATGTAACTAATAGTACTTTTTAAAAATGCAGAAATTTGATCCAAAATGGTAGGATGTAAACTCTGAAGATGGAAGAAATAGAACAGGGGAATTTTCCATGGACTGTCCACCTTTTGGCTCTTACTTGAAGTACTTTCTTGTTTTTTTTTATTGTTAATGATGAATGTAAAATGTTTCCAATATCTCCACATACTCAAGAATTATTAGAAGCATTAATTACTACAGGAAAAGCTTGTATTTTTCTGGTATTAAAAATCAACTCCCTCCTGATATAAATATCACTGAGAAAATTAGCTCTTTTTACCTTTTCCTACTCTAGTTACTGGTAATGAAATAACTGTCTTGTTTTCAGTGTTTCAAGTCAGGAAGAATATGGGTTTTAATGAATCACAGTCATTTGGATGATATGTACTCCTGTATTTTGCCTTCAGTGCTCCATGGAAGATGTTGCTTAAGTTATAAATAAAACAAGCTTCACACTGGTACCCGGCTAGGAACTTGCTGGGAGTGTATTTTACCTATACCAAATTTACTAAGCTCTAAATGCCAAAACATTAGATCTAGTCATCCTTGATCCCTTTCTTCATTCATGGCCCATATCCAGTCCATTTGAAAAATCATCATGGTACGCTCATTAAAATATATCCAGAATTTGACTACTTCTTAACCACTGGTCATGCTACCATCTTCTTTTGCCTGAACTACGGCGATAGCTCCCCAGTTGGTCTTCCTGTTCCTATAGTTTCCCCACACAGTATATCCTCTATACAGTATCTAGGCTGATCCGTTAAAACATAAGGCAGATAATGTCATTTTCCAGTGTTTTCTAATGTCACACAGAGTTGAGATTACCTGGCCTTCAGCACTCAATGTGGTCCATTTCCTTACCACCTCTTCGACATTTTATACTACTACTTTTCTTCTCTCTCTCTTGTCCAAACACTGGTCTCCTTGTCTTTTCAACATACCATGCAAGCTCTCCCTTCACAGACTTTGTACTTTTCTGTTGTTTCTTCAGGCTGGACATTGTTGAGCTCTGTCCAGGTTCCATGGTTCGCTCTCTCACATCCTTTGTAGCAATGTGACCCTATCAGAAAGCCTATCCCTGACTGACTTTTCTCCCTTGCACTTACCCATGTGACATATATTTATTTGCTCATACTGTTTCCCTTCCCCAGCAGCATATGAACTCCTTGGGGAAGGAGTTGGATTTATTCCCTGCTGTTTACCCAATGCCTACACATTCCTTTTTTATAATAGATGCTCAGGAAATATTTCTCGAATGAATAAAATGATCATCTCCTATTTGAGAGCCCAGACTCAAAGTCTGAGAATACTAAAATGTATTAGCATGTAAAGTGATTTTAGAGCAGTGGTTACCATGGACCCAGAAATTTGCATTTAAAAATAAAATGTAGGTAGTTTTTTTTTTTTTTTTTAAGATTTTATTTATTTATTTGACAGAGAGAGACACAGGGAGAGAGGGAACACAAGCAGGGGGAGTGGGAGAGGGAGAAGCAGGTTTCCCGTTGAGCAGGGAGCCCGATGTGGGGCTTGATCCCAGGACCCTGGGATCATGACCTGAGCCGAAGGCAGACGCTTAACGACTGAGCCATCCAGGCGCCCCTAGGTAGTTTTGATGGAGACTGAACAAAGATTTTATGGGGCTGAGGTTTATTAATTTGCATTTATAACAATCTCCCCAGGTGATTCCTTGGCAGGTAAAAGATTTAGTACCATTCTAGAAGTTAGAGGATGGGGTCTGTATCTGCTTGCTTCAGATATATTAACTGCCTTATCCTGAAAGTGTTTTGAGTTGAAGCACCTCGATGTAGCATCTGGACCAGTCAGTGGGTCTTAACCGTGACTTCATATTCTAATCATCTCGGGAAGGAGCTCTGAAAGCATCAGATCCTGGGATGTCACCCTCAGCTCTTGCTCCAGACTGCACGGATTAAATCTCTGGCCGCACTCTCACTAGCTTTTTGACCTCCAGCAAGTTGGTTATCCTCTCTGGAAAACTGAGTAGTAATAGTGCCCACCTCAGAAGACCATGGAGGGCCCCATGGTAGATGAAATGAAATTATATATGAAAAACACTTAACATAGGAAACCCTCATAAAGGATTTGATATTATTCCTAAGTTTTGGTGACAAAAACGAATCCTCTTTACTGCTACTCTCTTACAAAGAAGATTTGGGATTTATTTTATTCTACTTTGCTGATTCCTTAATGTCCAAGCAAACCCAGCTACAGTGGTGACAGAGGGAAACAGCTACATACTTGGGTCATTTCAGGTCCAATCTAGTGAAGCTGCTACAGAAATGGGAACGGAATGGAGTGAATAGCATTGAACCAACTGACCAAAGAATCCTCTGCTGATATGGTCATTTTGGATAGTTTTATTACTTCAAATTCCGTTTTCTCAATATCTCAGTCTTACTGTGAGAAGGAAGAGAAAGAAAAATTCAAGATAAACATCCATCATTATGTGCCAGTAAGGCTGATACTTACTTTAAAATAGGGGATAGCTTCTCACGCGGAGGAATTTGAAATTAGCACAGTGTGCAAGCACTAAAAAAGAATGGAAATATTTTTGTTTTGATTAAAAAACACAACTCTGAAGCAATGGTAGAAAAGGAAGAAAATGTCATCTGTAAATTTCATGTCATGTGGAAATTCTTTGGCAGTATAGTCAGTTTATAAGAGTCTCTTCAGTTTCTTTGAGTCTCTTAAAACTAAAATACAAATAAAGCTATGGATTTCCTAGTGCTCTTATTACTCAAAAGATGTTATATTTAATGTTATTTTTATATTTTATATCTATACTTTTATATTTTATATTTAAGGTTATATTAAGTCACTAGCCATCACTTAT